GTGCTGAGAAACTGGGCAGCTTGGCACTGAGCTTTGAAGACCACCTTGATTGCTGGTTGCTTGAAGAGTACAGCCCACCAGCTGCACAGGCAGTTGAAGATTATTTTGTCCAGATTATTGCCCCATGCTTCTTTTCAGACCTTTGGGAGATACCTGTGCTTCCTGCACCACCAGGCTCTCCCCAGCACCTACTCTGGTGGATGTCTGATCTCCAGAGTGTCCTGACACTCACAGATGAGGGGGGAGAGATTGGGGGAGGTTAGAACACCCCACCTGCACACAAGCCAGAGACAGCATTTGTCTGGTGTGCAGAGCTGCACAGGGAGCAAGAAAGAGCCTGTCAGAGGGATGGAGCCTGCGTGCAAGGCTGCTGTGCCACACCAGCCTGCCTTTATCTGCTGCCTCCTCTGCCTGCAGAGGCTGGAGAGGCTGCAGAAGGAGCTGGGAGCTGTCCCTGCAGCCCATATCTGCAGTTAGGGAGGTTGGAGAGGGAATGCAGACAGCCATCCCTGTCTCTTTTGTGCTGCAGCAAGGAGCAGCCAGGGGAATTTGAATGAGGCTGAGAAAAAAGAGTGAAAGAGCGAGCATGTGTGGAAAGGATTTGAATGGAGATATTGGAAAGCAGAGCTGGTGCTTGTGCCCTGAGCTGAGAAGTCGCTGAAGAAGCAGGACAAGTAAAGAGAGAGCATCAGGAGTGAATTGCAATGCTGGGAAGCTGGATGCCTGCAAAACAGTCACAGAGTCTTTGCTCCATTCAGCTTGTTGGGGGGTCTACCTGATTTTAATGTTCACTTTTCTAGCTGTTGTTTGTTAGAAGTACCTGGGGGCTTGGGGATGAAACAGATTTTCTTTCTAATTTCTCCTTTCAAACAAGCATTAATAGGCAGTTGTGAGACCACATGCATGGCTTCACAAGCCACACCAGTCTCAGCACAGGTATATTGTTGTGGTGGTGTAGAGCAGAACCACAACAGTAACTCTTGACAGATGTGTTTATTAATATCCTTTAGCTTTGTTTAGGGTTCTAGCTGGTACACATCTGGCATAAACATCATTCGGTCTAAAAACATCATCCTGGTTTTTTCCTTCAATAGCCTGTATAAACAGAAAATGAAGGTGTGACAGTGTCATACCTTGGGCCCTGTGCTATGACAATGCCCTAGCTGGGAATGGAAGCAGAGGCAGGGGTACTGTGGCATCCTGCTTTTGTCTCTGAGACTCTTGGTGTGTGTTCCTGGTCCGTGGGCCAGCTTGGCTGGCTAACAGTGGGACAAGCACCCTGCAAGCATCACAAGCTGGCTCAAGTGACATGACAGAGGAAAGGGCAGACAGTGCCCACCAACAGGGCAGGTGAGGGTGAGGAATGAGGAAGGGCAGCCCCAGTTTGCAACTCCCAGAGGTTTGGTGGCTGAGTGCATGTGAGTGAGTTCTCCCCTGGTGGCTAACACTGTTTACAGTGACAGGGAAAGCGACAGGGACAGGGAAAGGGACAGGTTGCTTACACTGCACGTGAATACACACAAACCACATGGAGCTGACTTTGCCCTTTGTAAGGTGTTTCTAGAGAACCCATTCTACAAGAACATTCTCACCTCTGCCTCCTGTGTAACATTCACAGCCAGCTGGTAGGAACTGTGGATTTGTTTGTGTTTTTTCCTTTCCCATCCCTTGCTCAGAGTATTGGGAATGGAAGGAGGGAAAGGCAGAGGCGAGTGTGTGCTTTGCACAGTGCTCTTGTTCTGGCCCCTGGGCCAGCTTGCTGAGCCTGGTGATGAATGAGCTTGTAGCATGAGCTCCTCCACTGAGGCTTCAGCGTCTCTAATAAGGTGGCCAGTGTTTCCCTGTCCTCTGAGCCAGCCTCTGCTTTATTAACTGCACTGCAGCAATATTAAACTGGAGCACGGGGTCAGTGTGATCCGAGGAGAGATGCTGAGAAGGGGGTGGAACGGAGAAGATACCAGGATAGCACAGAACACATGGAGCAGGAGACAGGGAAACAGCTGGCAGTTGAATTGGATTGAAAAATGGGTTCCTGCTGGACTGATGCACACAGCTCTGCACAGACCTGCTGCTGGCAGCCAGGGACACAGAGCGTGTTCAATGAGGGGGATGCAGAGGCAGACTTTGGCCTTTGTGTCTGTGTCTGCTGGACCTGTGCTAGTGACCGTAAGCCAGCACCTGCTCCACATGCACACAGCAAGCAGCTGGCTGGAGCTGCCCCCTTCTCTCCCTGGCACTAATTTCATGCCCTTTAAGCTGTGCTGGCAGCGCACCTGGCTCTTTCTACTGACAGCTGCAGCTAGCTCAGGGCCCATGCTGCTTTTCACAGAGAAGCCAGTCTTTCAAAGACATCCAGGGCCAGTTCTGTTGTGATGCCAGGACTGTAGAGAGTGTAGTAAAGATGTGCAGAGGGCAGTCTTGCTGGCAGCCAGTTTCTGTGTCAGTCCAAGCTGCATATTGGATAGAGACAGGACATACGCTGGGAGAAGATAGAGCTACAAAATATTTGGTGGAGGGAAAAGACCTCTTAAAACTTTACCTCTGAGCACCAGGAGGAGATACATGCTGAGCCTTGGCTGTGCCTTTCCCATTACCTAGTGATCCAGGTCTCTTCTAGAAAGCAGGGAGGTTGCAACGCATAGGAAGCATATGTGCCTTTAATTATTTCTGTTTTGCAGCCAAACCTGGGTGGCAGCCAGTTATTTATTTGGTTACACAAGTCCCTGAGGATAGACTCAACTAAGGGATCCAGAGCTTTGCAGTGCAGACTGGAGGCTGATCTCTCATTTTGTCCTGGATTAGATGATGTGGGAGAGTATGTGATTTGACCTTGCTCCCAGAAGCTTTAGATACCCAAATTCCACCTAACTCCCAGCTGAGGTGGAATTTGCACTGGCTGAGTCTCACCCTCAAGCTTCTCTCTGACTCTCCATTTTCTTTCTTTTCTAAAGGTTATGTCTAGACAAGGGAAATGGCTCCTGACCTCCTCCTATTTGCTGGCTGCCTTCCTAACACCCCAGCAAATGGCAGCCTGTGGGGAGGAGCTGCTGCCAGCCCTCCCAGTCACACTCTGCTCCCCAAAAGGTCCCATGCTAGGAGTTGTACCACTCCAGCCTTCTGCTTCTGGCTTCTGACGGCTCCTCTTCTCCCAGATAATTGGAGGGCTGGTGCTAATGAGCCCAGCTTAAGTCTCTGTCCCAGGGAACCATCTCTGCCACTGCTTGTCCAGAGCAATGGTGTGGAGGGCTGGCAGATGGGAGGACTGAGCAATAGGAACACCAGCTGGGTCAGAACCCAGCTGGCATGTGTGCAGGTAGGGCCTTGTTGATATGAACAGATCCTGGCAGCATCCTGGTGCCTCTGGGAGCCTCTGCCCTGGTCCTACCCGCTAGGACTGCTCCTTAGGGCAGCACCAAGCTGGGGGAAGGCACCAGGGCAGCTCCCAGCTCTCTGCTCCAGCTTGCCAGGGGAGGAGGAGGAGAGTGCAGCTAGCAGTTCCTCAAGCAACTTACACCCTGATGTGTGCAGGTACAAAAAGTCTGGTCTCCTTTAGGTGCAATCTGTAAGGCAGGTGCAGAATTGTTTTTCACTGGGAGAACCACAGACAGCCACAGATTCTCAGGGACCAGTCCCTGCCCCCTCACTTGGGACCAGCATCCAAACTGTGGGCAGATCAAGGAGGTGAGTCAGTGAGTCCTGGCTGTGTTGGAAATGAATGGGGCTTTGGCACAAAAAGCTCTACAGTGGCAGCCATTGCTTCTGGGTTTGAACTTAGAGTTACATATGTGAGAGCTGGAGGCAGGCAGAGAAGGGATTGCATGCACTTGTTTTTGAAAGCACCACATCAGCATTGCCCCTGCCCTGCTTTGATAGTGGCCTTCACTTCTGCTGTGCCCTCACTCCATCTTCTTGCCCCACTGACACATTTGCTGTAAACCTTCCTCCATGCATCCCAATTCCAGTAATCCTGCAACTTCAGAGTTAATGGTGAACACTGAGACTGCCTGGCAGGAGAACTGCCTTTGCTATGGAAACTTCAGCCTAGAGGACATATCAGAGGCAAGGGAGAGCTTAGTTAACACTGGACTATGGAAAGTGCTGCCAATGGTCTTTTTCCCATCCCCAGCATCCCCAGTAATGTGTCTTGCCACAAGGATCCAGGCACTGCACAGCGACAGGCAGGAAATTGTATCTTCACAATGCAATCCTCGTTCTTGTTCTTTCCCAGCCAAGCAAGCATGACCATGGCAGGGAAGCCTCGCTGACATGTAATTCATCATTTTTAGTGGTGGTGATTTTGATAACGATATTTTCCCTGTTGTTTTCTTGAAACTTCCCTGCTCTCTTAGCAAACTGAATAATGTTTAGCTGGTATGGTTCAGCTAACATAATTCAGCCCCTTCCAATGGGAAACAGAGGAGGGGGGAGCCCGTGAGTGACCCCAGAGAACCATCAACTTGAAATAGACCCCTTGCTCTGGTCTGTAGAGTTTGTCCAAGGATGGACCCTGTGGAAGGTTTCTGAGGCAGTGTGGTAGTAGATTGCTTGGCAGTAGTGCCAAATGAAGTGCCGCATGGCCCAGGCAGCAAATGAATGAATTCTGCAGCAGTAATTGTGAACTGAAAGGTATCTTGGTGCAATGCCATGCTGTGTTTGCACAGAACCTGGGTGCACTAACAGGGGTGAATTGGGTTCATTTTCTCCTTCCTGAAACCATTGCTTCTGACACCAAGTTGCTTCAGGACCTGTAGTTCAAATTGTCCCTACAGTCCCTCCCTTGGAGGACACCAAGGCTTCCCTTCAGGGAGAACTCAGGCTCCCGATCACTGTTCTGTACCAGGGATGGCAATTTTCAAACCAATACTACATGAAGATCTCATGGAACAACTGGGTGTATATCTGTGTAGAAAGAGTAGGAATAGGGTGTTAGATGATGGACATGATTGCTCAGGTTTTCAGTTTCAGGATTTTCATAACACTATATTTCTTTTTCTGTGCAGCTGTCTCAGAGAAACACCATCCAGACCTTCATTCCTGTGAAGAAAATGGAGAAAGGCCTGCTGCTGGAGCACATCTTGCCCAACCTGAAAGTGCCTCAGAGCTATGAAGTTCGCCTGACGCCCATCACCAGCTTTGGGGCCGGAGACATGGCCGCCCGCATCATCCGGTACATGGAACGTAGGTGTCTCCTCCTCCGTCCTGCCTACGAGGCAGGCGCCAGCCTCAGGGGATGTGGGCATGCAGAGAGGGGCTCTTCTGTCACCCTTGGGTGGGGCTCTGTGCTCTGAGGAGTTCTGATGGCACAGAGCGATCGCATTCAATTTGTATTTTGGATGCTGCCATCAATGCAGAGCACTAGAGATTTCTGAAGGTCAGTCTCCACACATCCTTCACTCAGCAACTCTGACTCACACTGCACCCTGTGGGCAGGAGATGCCCAAAACCCCAGTCAGGCCATGCTGCAGCTCCCTGTGGTACAGTGGCTTATAATGCAAGATAGCCACTGGATGCTGTGTATTAGCCACACTCCCATAAAAGTAAAAGAATTTTGGGAGACTTGTTATTTCCAGAGCTGGATGCATGATTCCTGTCCTAGCTAGCCACCCCTAAAGCTGTAGCTCTGTCCAGTACCTTGAATCCCAGATTATCTCGTTGGTATGCATTGACCATACTTCTCTTCCCATCATCCCAACAGCTCACAGCTCTCTCTATTCCCACAACTCTATGACTCCTTTACTCTCCAACAGGAGTTTGGACCCTCTATTTCAGCAGAAAGTACAGATCCTTCTGTTATGTTTGCTTGATTTCACACATCCCTCTTGTCCCGTGGACTGACAGCATGTCCGGTGTCCCCATCATACCTGTCCTGTCACTCTTCCACAGTGCATCAAAGTGCTTTGATGTCACCCTTAGATACCAAGCTTTGGTATCTAAAGGGGTGCTATCCCACTGGGTGCTTCAGAAGGAAACTGGGTTGCAGAAGGGTTTTCCTGTGATCCCAAGATCACCCCTTAGGTGGGATTGTCTCAAGGTCTCTTGCTGCTTGAATCAGAGCGTCCACATCTTTTTCCATCACCAAAACAGGCACCAGGCATTGCTTTCTCACAGGGATGCTGCCACGAGACTTGTGCATTTGTGACCTTTCTTGATGTGTTTATTTTATTTTCAGACTTTGATTATGATTTGTACTTTTGTTTTGACTTGTTTTTCTATTTCTTTTTCCAGCAATCAACTATCCCAACCCAACAGGTAAGCAACAAGACCTTTGTGTTGATGCTTTGAATGTAATGTACTTTAGTCGAGTGCTCCAGCAGATCAGGCAAGACAAGCAGCTGGAATACATAGCTGACTATGTCAAATCTTTTTTCCCCAAAAGAGGATGAAATTGTATACACTAAAGCTTCCAGTAAATATTGCCATTTGTTGTACCTTGAGTTATTGCCAGGAGATTTATGCGAGGGATATGGCTCTTACTCACTCCTGATATCTTTGTGATGGGGCAGACTGTGATCTTGAACACTCACTCCCATGCCCCAGTACAAGCAATCTACTTCCAGTAAGCAGATATTCACAAAATATCTGTGTTTAGGAATATTCCCCATCCTCTTCTGACCAGGAATGATACCACTTGGTATCTCTGCAGGCTTTTATGGAGCAGTCTCCAGCTCAGATCTATCTCTTCTTGAAAACTCTTTGAGCACAGTCCCTTTCTTCCTCCCCTTCATTGTCATCACTGTTAACTTGCTTTTTTACCTTCTGGTTATTCCTGGCAAGATGCAGGCCCCTCTCTATTGAGCATCCAGAGTTCCCCTTTATTTTAAGAGCTGAATACACAATGTCTAAGAACGATGTTCTTTAACACCAAGATGACAGTGCCCATTGAGCATAAAAGAGGAATTCTACCTTGCTCTAAGACCCCCAAAGTCTTCACTTTGATTATAGAATGTAAGCCCAGGCAAAGCTCTTGGGCAGAGATGGGCAGACTACTTGCTAGTGCTCCATGGAGAGCGTGGGGCTGTTTCTCCATTTCCAGCTGCTGAGTCAGTATTTAGTGGTTTTATGTGTTACTCTGTGTGTAGGTAAGTACTGCTACAGCACTGCAGGGTACCAGCAGAGAGGAGAAACCAGGATTAGTGATGGCAGAATAGGGAGTTCTCTTGTTAAGGCAGCCACGAGGAGTTAATTCTTGCACGTTCACACTCTGAGGATAGTTTGATGAACCATACTCTGCCTGAGAGCTGGAGTTTCTTACAGAGTCAGAGGAATTTTGTGCCTCTAATTCCTGATTCCATTTGTTTTCTTTTCCTCACTTCCCGATTTACTTTAAATATTCTTCATAAAAGACTCACTGGGATACACGGAGCATATTGCCAGGGACCTACTCTAGAATGTTTCTCTCAGTACTTGCTGGAGGAGGCAAGCATCCCAGCCCACAGGTGGAAGTGACAAAGTCTGGCCTTTTGCCACTTGCTTTTACACTGCATAAATCACCGGGAAACCCAGAGCAACTTCAGTCCTAATTGTGTCAGTCTCTTGGGGTCTTTGTAAATTGAGCCTTCAGATTGCCTGCCTGGGGTACCTTTGGCAGCCTTATTGAGTCCAGAACAGCTGCAGGAAATTTGCCTGTGGTGGAACACAACTCAGCCACTCGTGGTTTTCATGCAGTAAACCCAACACTTAGGATTTCCTCTTGATACAGATTGCCCAGCCTCTGGTGGCTGTTGGGACCTCTGGGCCACCTCTTGCCCATGTGTTCACACCTCGAGACTGACTGCCTAAAATCAGACCTACCACACTTGCTCTCAGATATGCCCTTTCCTATCAGACCTGCTGCCAGTGAAATATGAGCTCAAAAGCTTTTTGCTCTTTCTTTGGACCACAGCTGAGTTCCCCAGCTCTCATCCCAAAACACAGAAATCCCTCCTGCTACCTCTTCCTTTCATACTTCCCCTGCTACGGTCACCCTCAGGGAAAAGTTCACAGTAGGCTGCTGAGCCAAATTCTGGGAGCAAACATTGAAAGCTCTGGAGTGAAAGGCAAAGATTAGATGATTAATGCCTCTGGCAGCCTGATCCAAAGGCATGCACAATGGTGATTAATTTACAAACTCTGAGAGTCACTTAATACAATTACTTCTTCATGCATTTTCTCTCTCAGCCTAATAAGATGTTAATAACATTGGGGCAGGCATGCGTGTGGCATGGTTACAGAGCCAGGCATTGGGTTAGAAAGGAAAAGCAAAGGAAGAACAGAGGAAGTGACAAAAGACATAGGGAATTTCAAATATTTAGAGGTTACCAGTAAGACTGGCTCTTAAAAATCAGTAAATCTGGTTCTAAAAAGCAGAATTTGTGTTTTAAAAACTGCCTAAGAATTATCTGAATTCTAAGATATTACCTTAAGGTTATCTTAGAATAAATGATTGGTTTAATGTCATGACCACATTCCAGTGCTGGGGAATCTGCTCTGTCCTTACCTCCTCTGTAATTTTTTTGGATATAGCGTTTGCTTTCTTTGGAGTGCCATTCCAGCTTTGGAGAGCCATTCCAGCTCCTCCTCCCTGGAGTGTTTTGGTTTCCCTTGTTTTGTCAGATGCAACCTTATAACCTTGGTGATGATGTCGTTAAGAAATATATGGGATTGCTGGTTTAATATTTGGTTGGCCAACCTGTCTTGCCCTTTCAGAGCAGCAACACTGTTTCTCACATACCTGCGGTCAGGCTGTGTGTGGTGCTAAACCCATGATTTTGGGACCATGGGCAGGTACAGTGGGTGGTGATCCGTGGCAGATGTTGGTTGTTGCAGATTAGCCTGGCTTGTTGCTTGCCATCTATTGCTGGTGTCTGGTCTCTGGTAACGCTCAGAGTCCAGAGAAATCCAAGTTTGTTCAGGTGAGAACATGTGGGAATGAGATGTCAGCCTGTGTTTAGAGTTGGATTACTCGAGTTTGTGCCCATTCTTCAAGAATGTTTTGTAATGCAAAGGTTTAAAGAGGTGACAGTTCCTTGTATCTTGGTGGCAAATAGGATGACAACCAGTTATAGCATTGTGAAGCTTTCTCCCATTATTGGTTATAGAATCCCTAGAAAATTGCAATGGGAGAGACTGTTAAATATTCTTTCTTAGATCATGACATACTTTGAGGTCTCAATATAGTTCTCATAGTCTTCAATTTCTAGATGGGGAAACTGATGTCCAAAAAATGATAGCCTGTGGATCACACAGCAGGTCTGCAACAGAGCTGAGGCTCAGAGCATGGTCCTTTATGCCCCAAGCCAGTGCCAGTTGTCACACCACAGCTAAATGATGAAGGCAATTTTATTCAAGTGCACTCCAACTGCTATTCACCCATAGTCTGCTGCTAGAATAGGAGTTTTATTTTTTGCATTCGTCTGGCAGACAGAATTTCAGAACCAGGGATGGTTTTCCCCTAAGGACTTGAAAGGAAAACCTCCATTATGTTTCTCAAGAAGGCAAAGCAACAAGAAATGCTAATAGCCACAGCAGAGGGTCTCCCCCCTGGGAATGCATGAAGTGTCTGTAACTGAGAGCAAACATCTCTGCACTCTGAGCTGCCACCACTGCAAAGCCTGCCAAGGAAATCTGTGTGGTGAAGACAGCACTAAATCCAGATTTTGAGGAGCCAGCTCCCCTGCCACCTCCACCTTAGTTGTTACAATCCAGATAGCAACTTTTGTGTCCAGTATTTAAATCCACTGCTTAAATTTTAATCAGGAAGCTTCATTTACTCCTTGAGGATGAACCAGGATCCCTGGCAAATGGCAAAAGTCTTCAAGAAGGCTTGCATCACACAGTCAAGGTCAAAAGTCAGATCACCTCTGTGGTCTCTGAGGTACAGCAAGTGATATAAAGATTTTTTTCTTGGCTGGATCTGCCAGGTTTGTCCTGGTGAACCTTGTTGATAACCACCAAGAGGTGACATGCTAGCAGTGTCCCAAACCACACTGAACACTTCCTAGTTATTCATGGCACCTCCATTGTAGCTCAGAGAAACCACAGAGCTCTGCTTTCCTGTGGCTTGTTTTATACCAAAGGACCAGGAGTCAGAGCACTTGGATTCTGTTTCCAGCTTAGGCACTGCCTGCTGTGACCTTAAATGTGTCTCTGTATACTTTGTGCATCTATTTCCTCCATGTAATGCAGAAGTTACGTAAAAAGAGGCATTACTATGCCACAGAGAAATTAAGAAGCCTTGTTCATTAGTTGTTCAAAGTGCCTTGAGCTCCCAAGCTAAGCAGAGGTGATGTGCTGGAGGTTCAAACTCCTGCACAGCAAATGGTGTTGCACATAAGATGGATCATGTTGTTGATTAAGCATTGCTTGATCTGTGGTGCATGGGACCCTTCTCTATTTTATGAGCTCTGCTAGAAGCATTGCCTTCTGGAAGGAGCTGCATTGGAGTGAGAAGATAAAATGCACTCAGGGCCCTATTTGGATGTTAAAAGAGCTGTCTATAGACTTTTGAGTCAGAAGTCTATAGACAGCTCTTCTCTGAGCAGTCTCATCCCACGTGTGTGGCTTCTTAAAAATGAAGGCACAGTAGTCCACCCCAGTCCACAGGCTGGCACAACCAGGCCTTGGGGCTAAGTTTGGAATGCTGTCCTCAGGTCCTCTTGTCTTGCACAACTCTCTCTGATACCCACCTGAGCTTGTGCTTTCTCCTTAATCTGCCTTTCCTTTGATTTCTGTACCTCCTCATTTGGAGTTTGTTCCCTCTCAATCTGTTGCCTGGCTGACCTCTGTGTTACAGCTTCCAGCTCTGCTTTCCACCTGATGTTCCCTGTTAAGGTAATTCTGTGTTGGAGAACGATGTCATCTTTCTTTGGAAGTCTGTGTTCTCAGCAGGGTCAGAGGTGCAAACCGCCCTGGAGCTTTTGCAAAAGGACAGTCATTGTGGATCCTGCTGTGTGAGATAATGCCATTCTGAGAGAAAATGTGTCTCTTGTAACTGCAGCTGGCAACCCAGGAGCTGGAGTCATGCAGATGTTTTTGGTGCAGTGGAGACGAACCGGGGGCATTACACCACACAGCAGCATCAGCAAGCTTGTGGGCTCCAGTGTCTCAGCCAAAACAGCTGAGGAAGACCCCTAGGAGCTGCCTTCTGACTCTTTTCTCCTTCTGTCTCTTTGTTCTGGGAATAAAGGAGGCTCCCACATAGTTAGCCTGTCTCAGACCCAGCAAGCATCTGCCCTGTCCTCTGCTCCCTTTTCCTTCAGCTCCAGATGCCATTTGGCCCCCTGTGTTAGGCACTGCAGAGCAGTGGCTAATTTGGATTTGGATGCTAATTAGAAATGAGCAGATTGAGTGGAAAGCACTTAGCCAGGGTTAATCAGCAGTTAAGTGGCCAGCCCAGACAAGCTCCCAATGGCTGTCCTCAGCCCAGAGGAGTGGGCATGCAGTGTTTCCTGCTGAGTTTACTGAAAACCCAGCTGCCCTGGTCTGTGAAACAGGCCCTTGGCTTGCCTCGCATTGTCCAGCCTGTGCTGGCAAAGACATTTTTGCAGGTCACCTCAGGGGGCTGCATCCTCTTTTCTCACTGCTTTGATGGGATGCTGGAAAGAGACGGGCAGAAAGGGGAACCCAGTTCCCTACCCCAGGGGTGTGCAGACCTTTGATGTCCATTTGGATTACAGTCATTTTCATTTCCAAATGGGAGGGGATGGGGAGGATGCTAGCCACCAGAAGGTAGGGTAGCCTCCAGAAGGTGCAGCATCTCAGAGTCAAGATTCTGTTCATTTCATGGGTAGTCTCTTCTCTGGTACAAGAGAACAGATTTTGTTGTGTATGGTAGATGTATGAAGCTCCTGCCATCACACTGTGCTGCTTCTGGAGCTTTTGGCCCTGGCATTGCAGAAAACTTCCCTTGTGTGTCCCATCCTTGGCACCCAGCCCATAGGTTAAGGACCCTGCTCTGTCCCACATGTCCTGCCAGAGTCATGCATGCTAGGAGAAAAAGCCTCCTGCCCAGGAACCAGAGCAAGGCATCACTGAAGATACAAGAATGAAGGAGCCCCCGGAGGCATTTGGGCTTCTCTTCATCTAGGCATGATAAATAATAGTGGGAGGTAAACCCCCAGAAGTTGAGTCTTGCACCAGCCTGCCATGGATGATGTTCCTAGCACATTCCAAGGCATCATGGAGAGCCTTCTTTTCCTTTGTATATGTGTTCTTTCATGGCTTTATCTTTCAGTTTCATAGCACACCTCCTTGCTCTTACTTAAAAGCAGCAATTAAAGATATCTGTGCTTGCCGTATCTACATCACTCACAAGGTCCAAGATCCCACTTCCAGTTCATTCTCCAGCTTTGGTTTCTGCCCAGGGACCTTTCAAAACACACAGCAGTTTTCACATTGGTTCTTGGACCTGTTTTCTCTTTCTTTTTTGCCTGTTTTATCCATCCCTCTCCTATTGTGTCAGCAGTGTAAAGCAGGTTCTTGACCTTTGCTTTTGTGACACAAAACTACCTTTTTAACACAAAGGTTACAATCTTCAGCCTGGTCATGTCCAATTCATTCCAATCTCCACAAGTCCATATTGAGTTATGTCTATGCACGAGATTTTTCATCTGTCTTACAATATTGCTGTAGGGTGTAAAAGTCTTGTGGCAGCAATAAAAGTGAGCCCTATTGCACATATAGGTTTTTTTATGTAGGTTGATCCTACATAAAAATCTTTTACCTACGTGTTTTATTTTGTTAGGGGAACCAGCATAAGCTGCAAAATCAAATGTGCTTTTTAGCTGGTATAAATTAGATGTACTCTGGCTAAATGACACGTTTGTCATGCTGAGCTGACCTCTTCTCCACAGCTGATTTTTTTTCATGTGTGTCATAGTTTAGTTAAATATATAGCCTAAAGGGGGGTCATCTGCTGCTACTTTTTCCTCTCTCCTGGGGAAATTATTCTACCATCAAGTTGTTCTGATATAAAAGCCCTTGTAGCCAGTTTGCCTTTGGTGATCTTTTTACCTTCCTCTACATTTGCCCCTTCAGATCTCTCAGAGAATCTCTTTAGCCATAATAGCTTTTTTCCATTTTGTCAGACCATCACATTTATCAGGCTGGATTAACACTTCTGTAGTAACACTGATCACTGGTGTATTATGGGTAGTGATAGGAAAAGGGGGAACATTTTTAAATAAAAGAGGGGACATTTAAAGTAGATTTTAAGAGTAAATTCCTTACTTAGAGAATGGTGAGGCACTGGAACAGGCTGCCCAGAGATGTTATGGGTGCCCCATCTGTAGAAGTGTTCTAGGTCATGTTGAATGGGGCCCTGGGCAACCTGATCTAGTGAATGGTATTCCTGCCCATGGCAATGGATTGGGAACTGAATGGACTTTGAGGCTGCTTGCAACTCAACCCATTCTGTGATTTCTATGATTTCTATGATGCCTTACTTTTCAGCCTCCTCCTGAGGCCAGGGGCTGCCCATCTGCCCCTGGCTTGACACGGAGCCTCAGTGGTGGCACAGCGCTGTTGTGAGCGCCCAGGCAGCCTGGGGAGGGTGTTGGAAAAGCAGCAGCTGAGCAGCCCTTCCCTTCCCATCCCCGCAGATAACACGTGCCGCTTTGAGGACGAGAAGATCTGCGGCTTCGTGCAGGACAAGATGGACAACTTTGACTGGACGCGGCAGAACGCGCTGACACAGAACCCCAAGCGCACCGTCAACACGGGGCCCCCCACGGACATCAGCGGCACGCCCGAGGGTCGGCACACGGCTGGGCTTCCTTCGGCTTGGCAGGGAGGGGAGGTGCACACCATCTCCTGACTGGAGCCTCCCAGCTCTGGGAGAAAGCTGATCTGCTTTCTGCTTCACATGGGGTGCAGGGAGCAGGCAGTTAATTTGCATGTTGCTGATTGGAATTAAACACCCAATTAAAACACCCACAACTTTGTTGAAGGGAATAGTGTGAGCATTAGTTCTTGTTGTCAGCTAATTGCCTGATGCCTAATGCTCTTGCACTGTTTGATGCTTGTTTTGAAGAAAAACATGGATAAACAATGAGGAGAATATCTCTAACACCTAGAAATGGCCCTGTCAGTTTTAGCGAGCTGTTTCCTTGAAGGAATTTTCAAGGATGCAAACAGATCTCCTTAGTACCAAGTACAGAAGCATTGAGAGCCCAGACAGGAGCTGCCTATGGGGCAGGAGGAAGCTTCACCTATAGCTGGAGGAGACTGGTGTTATGTATTACCTTAGCTGTGTGTGGAGCATATGCTCCCTGTTTAAGTGGATACTATGTCCCTCTTTCTGTAATAAGAAAAGTAAATTTGTATGCAAACACCTATCTTTGAACTCAGAAAAAAATGGGAAACATCCAATGGCCCGCTAAGGAAATGGTTTCTCCCATTAGTGTTCAGTACACCCAACCTGACTGAGCATTGAAAATGCTGTTAACAAATTAAATGGCTAATCTCTTCCTCCCTGGGCTGTTAACAATTGCTTTGGTATTGTTCTCTTTAGACAACAATATTGTTCAGGCTAGACGTACCAAACCCTCTCTCCCTCTACTTGAGGCAGAGAAATTAGTCTGGAATGGTTTCTCTTTCTGGTGTTCTCCTTGCACAGTGCAGCCAGCTCTGGGGCTCTTTGTCCACCCAGACAGGTGTGCAGGGATTCACCTGCTATGTGTGCCCACAGCAGGTCTGCAGATGCCTGTCTCTCCCATGCTTCCCTAAATACTGTCAGGGCAGGGAGGCACTGGTGGTATCCTGCAAGTGTCCCTGGCTGGGACCACAGTGGGTGCAGAGCAGGTGGGCAGAGCAAGGCCGTGTCTCCCAGAGGAGGGGTGGTGTCCCAGCCACATTGGCATCCCATCATTTGGAGGAAGGGACACCCGGTACATGCTGCCTTTGCCCATCTTTCCCTCTCGTTCTGCAGGTTATTACATGTTCATTGAGGCGTCTCGGCCCCGGGTGACAGGAGACAAAGCCCGGCTCATCAGCCCCCTGTACAACATCACTGCCAAGTATTACTGCGTCTCCTTCTACTACCACATGTACGGGAAGCACATTGGTGAGTCCCCTCTGGGCAAGGGTCAGCTCAGCCTCATGTGGGCTCTTGGGGAACATCTCCAGCCTCTTGCTCCAGCAGCTGTGCCTGTGACTAGCAATTCCAGAGGGTGGGAGTCCTACTCCAGTATTCCAAGCAGCAGGGTGGGCTGCTGCACTCAGATATTGTCCCATAGCCCAGCAATGTCAGAGTTGTGAGGCTGTCACAGCCTGTCCTTGGGGCAGCACTTACAGTCAGTCTGTCCATTGGACAGGAGAAGAGGGTGAAGGGGCTTTGTGAACCAGAGAGCTCTGGGGTGGCCACAGCTACCCCAGGGTGTGCAGGATGTGTGTTCCCCCAGCCAGGCCAGGGGCTGCCTGCTCTGCCTGGCTCCTGTAGGCCTCAAGTGCAGCAAGCACCACAGAAACGCCTGGCACACTAATGAGTTTCCATATCCAGTCAAGGAGCAACTGCTAATTCATCACCTCTTGATTATAATTTCATTAATTTGAATAATAGATGCACTCTTCGCACAGCACACAGGGTTATTAATCACCTGCTGGACTAGAGCCTGACTGCAAAATCAGGGCCCAGGCAGGAATGTGTCCGCCCTTCAATAAGCGGGGTTAATTAACCTCTCTCTGCTCAGCACTGCAGATGTCTTTGGGAGGGAACATGCTCCTGAGTCTGGCCACATCTCTGTGCACATGTGGCACGGCTGAGAGGTTAAACTGCAAAATCTGGGCAAGGCTGAAACCCTGACACCATGAGTGTCGGGGCTAGGAGCTGGGCTGCAGTTCACTGAGCAGGTCTCCATCTATGTCTGTGTTTTGAGGGCTCATATCTGCTCTCTGCACTTGGAATTGGGCTAGGTCAGAGGTGTTTTCACACACCTGGATTCCCCCTGGAGACAGGCTGCTCCATGTTGTAGTCATGCCATCAGTGGCAGCTTGCTCCGGCAGAGCACTGTCAGTGTTGGCTCACACCATATTTTCCTGGAGCTGCTGGTCCTGCTTGGCTGACAGAGTCCAGCTGCTAATGCTGGCTGGCAAACTCAAGTGTTCCCTGCCTTATGGTAAGTCAGCTCTGCTGCCTAATTCCTGCTTGTCTTCTCCTGGAGCCTGGGAAAGGGGTCTCATTCTTTGATGAAGAATGGCCCAGACTGGTGGGATATTGGCAAAAAAAAAAGATGTGGAGAGAGGAGGCCTCTCTTGCTTTTTTTCTTGTGTCAGATTTCCACATTCATTTCTCAGGTGAAGTAAAAGCTCATCAACATTTTCTTGATTTTGGAAAAGAGCTCGATTTAACAGTTCTTTTGTTAAATGGTCTGTCTGGAGATGGAGTGGACTGGACATGCCAGAGAATCAATTCATTGCAGGGTTTGTTTTTTTCTTTTAGCATTTTAACTCCTTACTAATTTTCTCTACCCACAAATTACCCAAAAGTGATGGTGACTCCTGAGACCTCAGAAAGCCTCTAAGTGCCATTTTCTGTGCCTCAGCTTCAGACACCTTTTATATCTTTTGGTTTTTCCCTTCATACCCAATGGTATAGGCCCTGTTTGATCCCTGTTTTTCCTCTTGTTGTACAAAGGCTGATAAATTTCTGTGAGGTGGATAGACTCCTTAATGCCATGTGATTTCCATGGTGGGTGCTGCTGAGCTGAGAGCAAATTTTAAAATCATACTGATTAGACAGAGATTGAAAGAGAATGAAATGAGAAAAAAGTTCTTTTTCTCTGTGAAATATATGACTTGGTCCAGCAAACCCACCATCTATCTGCCTGCCAATTGAAACTCAGTGCCTTGACACCAGGCTTGATGCCCTTATTGGCTGTTGCCTTATTGGCTGAGAGAACTCTTAGGGTAAAACAAGTTTATTCAGCTCTTCTTCTTCAGCCCTGTGTTAGAGGGGGCTAGAGGACTCAGTAGGACCTCCCCTGTCCTAGGAGGGGGAAAGGAGGAGACAGACCCTGCCCTCCCATCCATCTCACATGTGCAACAATGTCAAGGCACAGGTGGGGTTGCTGCAGTCCTGAGCCATGCCTTGCTTCCCATAGACCCGGCTGTCCCTTGTGCAGTCACAGCCACAGCCCCTGGCTCACTAGTGCCAGCACAGTCCTGCCAAGCCAGGTGCCAGCAAGAGTGTATCAGATTGCTCCTGTCAGCAGAAAATGCCAGCAAGAGGGTGTCTCCCATCCCAAGCCTCTTCCAGCAGCTCCAGCTCCATCGTGGAGCAAACTGAAGCTCTGTCGCTACAAAAAGTAGCCGTATAAAATCCCGACATTTATTTATTTTTTTAATAACTCTTTTATTACCTTTTCCCCCCCCCCACTACAGAACTTGAAAGCTGCTTTACTCTCACAATTTGACTATAAAATATCCGTAGCCATCCAGGCAAATCTTCCCTGGGAGAGTTCCCAGACACTACTCGTTTATAATAGATATGACGAAAGAGAGAAACAGAATACAAATGCACCGGTTGTAGCCATGATATAAAATATTCAGTGACTAGCAGAGTAGGATGCTGTTGAATATCTCTCCGCTGATGAGAGAGCAGGATGAAGGGGAGTTCCCTGGAGGCAGTCCCCATTATTCTAAAGTTATTTGGCCATCTGTTTTTCTTCCTCTGGCCCCCTCTGTAGCAAGCATTCACATTGCCCTATGATCCTGCCAGCCCCAACACAAAAATCAGGGAGGGGAGAAGAAAAGAAATCCTATTTCCACTAGGCATTCAAGAGCAAGAGTGTCTTACTTGCAGCTGGTGTGGAAATGTCAAATGAGGCTCAGTTGGTTGGAGCCTGGTGCTAATGATGCCATAGTCGTGGCATCAATCCTGTGTGGGCCATTCACTTAGGAGTTGGGCCTAATGATCCTTGTGGGTCTCTTCCCACTCAGAATGTTCTGTGTTCTGTGTTTCTGAGGAATTGTTTGCTTTCTTCGGGGGAGGAAACTAGCCATGGCAGCTAGCAAGTATTTGCCAAGTTCAAAAAGCCTCTTTGTCAGGTTGTCTGGGAGCAAATCCTCAAGTCCTTGCTTCAGCCATCAGACTCCTCTTCCTCCCTTCCCGGGGGCTGCCTCAGAGGGGGATGCTTTAAGAGGACAGTTTTCCTGACAGACTAGTTCCACCACAGTCCCCTGCCACCTTTCTTTCATGCCTCCTAACTCAGTGGTAGCCAGGTTATGATCTGTGCAGCCTCCTGCTCACTTATGGATGCTGCTGCAAGCAAGAGATGTCTTCATGGTCAGCTCACAGTGTGAAGGTTGCTGAGAGAGACATGGAAATTTCAGCCACTGAATGGAGAGTTATGGGTGTGATTGTTCCAGTGCTGACACAGACCTTATGTAACCACCCCAGCTAAGTCTGGTCTGTGTATAATCTGAATGGGAAGCTTCCAATAAAATTATAAAGTTCTCATTGCTTTCTACAGCTTCTTGAGGAAGGAAAGGGGGTGAAAAGTGCCAATCCATGAATGCCATGACAGGATGCATGGGAATGCTTCAAAGCTGCATCAGGGGAGGATCAAATTTATTTTTTGAAAGGGTCGTGAGACACTGTAATGGGCTTCCTAGAGAGGTGATCCAAGTGGTCAGGTGGTTGTAGGTCCTTTTCAATTTTTTTTTCTTTTCATTTCCCTTTTCTTTTTTTTCTCTTCTACTCTATTCCATGAGGAACAGTGCTGGGGACTGATTGAGAAGGATTTTGAATCTGAATCACTGGAAACAATGAGACCTGATCAGATTGCTTGCTGCAGCATCTGAGCTCAAGAAAGCCGTGGCTGTTTCACAGAGGGAATTGTGTTGTGGGCACGCCACTTACACAGGCAGTGCCACCACTGAAGCCCTCCTGCTGAGGAGGAATCACAGGTCTGGAAGGCCTGCCGAACTGAATTGCTTCTTTACTTCTTCAGCTCAGATCAGACAATCAGTGCAGAGTGTGTCCAATAGGCTGTGGTGGATGATCACACATAGGAGCCAGTGGGTGCCATGTGGCTTGTTTCTGACAAGTCATGTTAGCCAGATCTGTCAGGTCACACAGATTGAGAGGTACCAGTTCTGTCATTGAAAAAGCAGCTTGAACCACAAAGGCATCATTTTTGTGAGATTCACCACCATAGGTCCCTCGTTCCTACCCAAACTTTGTTTATAAACACATCACCCTGCCACTGCACAGTAATGCAGGTGGCACTCTGGAGGTAGCTGTGTTCTTTTGGATACATGAAGTTTGCCTTACATAGAAATATAGAAATATAGAAGTTTGCCTTATATAGAAATGTGTCATTCATTAAATCCATGCCTTTATCTCAATACAATTACTCTACACAATAGGGATTACATCACTGGATTGATTGAGGAGAGGCTGATTTTCCTCATGAGTATGATTCACTTCCCTCTAGGCTCTTGAAAACAAGTTGCAGTTAGAGTTAAGTGAAGAGTTTGTAATGAAAAAGTGCATTCAGTTTTTTTAATGTTCATCCTTTTTCCACTTACTCAGATGTGGTTTTGGCCATTGATAAATTCCTATTTGACTAATGATCTATAAAAGATCCAGCACCTTCCTGCGGGCTGTGGTGTGGACCCTTTGGAAGGATTGTGGTCTCTTTTAGTAGTATCTGCATGGGTTTTTTGGGAGGTTAGTCAAATACCATGATGATGAGCAAGGATTGTAAATACCCAGCAAGAAGACCATGTATTCGTAAAGTGTCATTCAGCCTCTGTAAGTTCAATACAGTGTCTCTGAAGCGAAGACAGATTAAGTCATTGTTTCTCTAAAGAATTCTGTGAACTTTGGATTAGAGGCATGGATTTAAAGATTATTAAGACCCAATAGCACTGATACATCATCTAATCAAATTTCCTGCATAACCAAGGCCAGAGAATTCTCTTCACTTACTTTTGCTGGAGCCCAGTAAATACTATGTGTCTATACCTTCATTAGATGTTTACTTACAAAGACCACCAATATTTGATATGTAGGATTGGAACATCCCTAAGCCAAAGAGTTTAACATCTAAAGAAGAAGAC